ACACACACACACACACACACACACACACACACACACACACACACACACACACGCACGCACTTCTGAGATGAATGCATAGCTGCACGTACAAAAATCAACCGACAATTTCTACTTGCGACCTTAACATGGAAAAATTCGCAAAGGAACTAAAAATCGTTGTAGCTGCTAGTTCACAACCATGCCCCTAAAAACCCTGTTAAAAAATTTTACAAATTTTACTTCGTGACACATCTTGCCATGGGCAATTTAGCAAAAATAATACAAGAGCATGCACAATAGAACTCGAAAAATATTTAGGATGTTAGGTTGCAAGAAAATACACAAATTCTTGATGATGTATACTAAAATGCTTTATTAGTGATATGCCGTTATCAATAATTAATTGACATCTTCGAGGCAATCGCATAATCTCGAGACAAGGACCTCCATATCATTCAAATTTGACGAACCAGCTGCTTCATGGTGTTGAGTTCCTTTCCTGTAAGCTTAAACTTCATGATTGCCCGATCATTTTCTATTGGATTTCCATTCGGTGACTGTGAAGGCCGAGTACAACGAAGTACATTTTCTTCTTTCCACGCAGTACGATGTGAGCTTCGACGTTTTGGTTCATTATCATCTTGCAGTAGCCAATATTTGTTATTTCTTATAAACCACTTTTGATTTATAAGAGGAGTTTTATACAAAGCATCTTAGGGAAACAGTCAACCTACTTGAGGTGGAATTTCCTATTTAATGGATCGCGGGAAGAATTTTGTCGTATACACTTTCGTCAAGCAGACTGTACGGTCCAGCGAAATTCATTGTGCGAGAACGACTATTAGGGCCTAGATATGCGTACATACAGTGGGCCACAAAATTATTCGCTCATCTTTTAAAACGCAATAACTTTTTAAGAACTGAACTAAATGATTTGCATTTTTTTTAGATGACAGAGGGACTAGTTTATTAGACGATGACTGAAATGCTGTTCCTTTTAAATCTTGTTATTACTTGGATTCGTAAAAAAAAATAAAAATCCCTCGTTTTTTAATTTTTTTATCTGAGCCTATAGCGAAAATTTAAAAAATGCCTCTCGTAGATCTTGGTAACTTATATGAGTGTTGAAAATTTTATCGAAATCGGTTCACGTTGTTACGAGTTACAACAAATTAATGATCGCAAAGTCGCAGTTTTTTATTAATAATTAAAATGACTGTCACAGGTAAATTACTTACTATTTCGGGTCCGAAAAATTAATAAATATTCTTTAGATATTCCAAAATAAGAAAAAATAGTGTTTTCTTAAAATTATCACTGTTGCATAGTAAAAACAATTTGGAAAGTTTACGTTCGTTGTTCATTGTTTCGAACGCGGTTCGAAGCTTGTGCATAGCGCTCCTCCTTGTTAATAACTCGTAAACAAAGCCGCAAATTGCATTTTCGCTAAGGAAAGAGATAGTTCAAATGACCTCAGGAATCGCTCGTTTCCCGGTAATACCATAGATTTAGGACACCCTGTATATGATCTAAGACAAGGCTCGGAATTATCAGTACGCCATATACAGAATGCGAGGGCTACGCCTCCTGACTCCGGTCGTGCGACTCGCTCGCAGTGGTCGCCTAAATGCTCGAAGCGCATCAAGCGCGCGCCTGAATTAGAATTTGATCGTTGTGACAATAGGTTGTATAGTAATCCATAAAGAATCGTCGCGAGACGATAAATTGCGAAACGCGCGAATCGACGTTTCGTCGCAATTTTGCAACGTCACGAGTTATACAGTTTACTCTTTAAATTCTACAAGTTTTATCCATAAAGACAAATATAAATTAGTTCATTTAACAGATATAAAGATGCAAATCGAAAATGTATCTAAAATTGCAATGAATTAACATTTACATGCAAATAAATTCAAAACATATACTGAAATAAGGAAATATACCGTTAACTTAAGCGTGAATTATTTGTAAAAAAAACGTTAAGAAACTAAGTACAAATTAGATAGTAATATAATGGAATGTTTATTCTTGCAAGCATTTGTAAATACTATTAGTAATTTTTCATAAGTTTTAGTAAATTCAAATATTATTTCCAGGAAACTACAAATAGTGATCTACCATGGCTGATTATCTCCAACTTTTTTGCGGCATTGCTTTGGTGTTCGTTGCTGTCTATTATTACTTAATATCATCTTTCGATTTTTGGAAATGTAGAGGTGTACCTGGGCCTGATCCGATACCTGTATTTGGCAATACTAAAGATATTCTTTTCGGAAGACTACTACTTGGCGTCTACTTAAGGCGGCTGTATGAAAAATACAAAAATGAGCCCCTTATTGGAATATTTAAAAGAAGAAGTCCTAATGTTGTCGTATGTGACATGGATCTCATTAAGGATGTTCTCATCAAAGATTTTTCTGTTTTCGATGATCGTGGAATCGTTATTAATGGGAAGGTAGGCACAAAAATTGTATTAATATTATATTTTACTATTATTACAGACAAATATCCTGCTTTTCTACTCATCGTTTACGGATATTTTCTTTTGATGCAAAATTATACTTCAATTATTTAGTATTAATTACGAGACTATTAGATAAATTTAATTTTTCACTAGAAACTTTAGAAGAGCAGGTTAAATAGTCCGCAAAATTTTTGTGAATATCAGACGCGTTCTATGTTTGAAGAAATATGATCAATTACACAGGAGACAATTCCATTTGATGTGTAATAGTTGCCAAGATGTTTGATCGATTGGGTAAATTATTTGCATCTTTCAGTGCGGTTTTTACTTTTTTCATTGTTAACCAGGTAAAGAATACGCGACTAAAATTGTTGGGTGTCGAGACCCTAGGCAAAATGTTACTGTTGCTCCAGATACACAATGGCTTTCACTGGCCTTTGCTCACTCATTGTAGAGTCCATTTTCTTTATGTTGTACATATATGTTCTTTGTTTTATTTGTCATGCGCAATGTTGTGTCAGAGCCCACTATTTCCATTTCAAGGTTGGCCTTTCTACTCCTCCCGCTAAATATGCAGATTTGCTTCCTGTATTTATACCAGCAGATGAATGCTCATCTCTGTTCCTAAAGCATCTTATTTTGTTATTTTCATCTTTTTTTCTATACTTATTTTGTTTTATAGTGTGTTTCTTTTTAGGGTATTTTGTTGTATTTCCTTTCTTGTACTTTACATTCTATTTTTCTTTTATTACTCTTTCTCTGTTAGTCTTTCCTCTTCTATATATTGTGTGTCCCGCTTTAGTTGTTGACACCCATGCACTTCTGAAGAGTTTGTATTCTTGTGATAGAATATCTCAGTATCTTCGCAATTAGCATGTCGTCATCTATTACCCTATCTAGGCTTTTTTAATCTGTACAATATATTTTCTAACTTATTAATATTGCTATACCTATACCTTTGTCACATTGGTAGTTAAAGAACTCTTGCAGTAGGTTACATTTTAACTGATTGTGGTCCCTTTCGTGCATCCAGCTTATTTCTAATTACATTTCTTGTGCTATAAGGCACATCATTAAGTTATGGGAAGTGATAAAAAGATGGAGTTATAAAGGAAAAGAAAGGGAGCATTTCGGTCTGGTCCCTGCTATTTAGCAGGCCTTGCCTTAGACGTCAAAAAATTTGTTGAAGGTTATATTTTTTGAGATTTCAAGTTTGAAATTTCGTTGCAGTTATTTTTTAAGTGGAATGATATATTTTTATTATGGCTATATAACCAAGGTCAAGACGAATCCGATAACCTGTAATATTATGACCTTCACGTGACCTTGAGCATAAAATTCATACAATTCATATAACCTTGACATAACTTTGACTAGAGACTAATGTAAACACGTTTACAATAAATTGTAAACACTGATACAAATTTCTCTTCTTTCGGTGACTATAATCAATACGTTTAAAAAATTCATTGTAATTTATTCGATTGTGTGTGAAAGATAATGTTACTTGTCTGAAACAATGGTTATGTCAAGGTTTACGATTTATTAATGTTTACAATATATTGTATATATAATTACAGTAATTAGTCAAAGTTATTTCATGGTTATTAGGCCACAAAGTATATCCAACTCTTTAAGTGTATGGATTCGTTATTATTTTCTTCGCATTTGCGTTTTTTATATGTACTACATGTTTTTTCTTCTGGCTTTATATCTTCTGTCATTATCGACAAGTTGATTTTTCTATTTGTCGCAGTTCGTCTGAGCTTATTTTGGCAATTTCCAGTGTTTTCATTGCTTCATGCTTTATAGTTTACTTTCACTTTGCCACGCACTCCTGTCAAACTTTCTCGAACTTCCCGTTGTAGTCTTCCCTTCACGGTACGTCGACCCCTTGTACTGGGCATATAACCTGTTTTATACATGGTGTCCCAATATTATTATACATGCGGGAAAAGGGAGGTTCCGGCGGTCATTTGAAGTAACTTTTTCTGTAGCGACCTAGATCATTAAATAAAATGTTTAATGTCGCCTCACGTTTGCTAAAACATTTATTTCCAAAATGCTTCGTTGTGAAATTGACTGATTATCTACTGTAAGTCAGAGTTGTTCAACAGGCTCCGCGGCGGCCAAGGTCAAAGCTACAGGCTAAGGCCAAAGCTACGGGGCAAAGCTATGTGCAAGTGTCTTACAAGAAGAGATCCCCAGGGGTGTCGCTAACTTTTTGATGAAATTTGGTACAGTGATAGAGCTTGTAAAGCTGAATCCAATAATACCCGATTTTAGGGCAGACGGCTTATAGTTTTTCAGATATTTAATGTTAAAGTTGTTAATAAAAAAAAGGCTATGCGAGGCACCGTGCGGTAAGAGGTGGGTGCGCGCCGCACGTTCTGGCTCTCAGCTTTTCCCTCTCCATAATAATTCTTGCAGTGCGCTGGTACCGGTACCAATACAGAAATATTAGAGAATGAGGAACGGTGGGAGGCGCGATCTGGCCTACCTAAACGGGACGCGACGGCGTGGAGTACCCCCACCTCCTGCCGCACGATGTCTTGCGTCGTAATTCAGAGCATTTTTCTGATCTTTTATTAATAACTTTAACGTTAAATATCTCAAAAACTATAAGCCGTCTGCCTCAAAAACCGGATATCATCGGATTCAGCTTTGCAAGCTCTATCGCTACACCAAACATGATCAAAAAGTGAACGTCACCCTTGGGGACCTCTCCTTGTTAGTTGAATGAGGACTTAGGAAAAAAAAGAGCGAAATTTCTCTCTCTCTCTCTCCCACTCTCACGCATTGCCGTTACATGCCGATCGTCCGATGCTTTTTACATTTCCCTCAATCTTGACGTAACCTACAGTCAATCTCTGTCATCGTCTTCAGCCAAATAACGTGTCGTTACTGGTGAGGAGTTCCGCGAGGAGCTCCTCACCAGAAGTGGGACCTAGAGCTCATCGATCGGTATTTGTCCTGGGCTCAAAATCGCTGCCCGAACGGACAAGTTGTTGAACAGCTCTGCTGTAGGTACTCGCAGCACACCTTAAAAATGAAAACTCTCAATATTACCATGGTTATAGGTGGAACCATTAACCCAGCACATCTTTAATTTAGAAGCAGAGAAATGGCGGCCACTGCGAACAAGGCTCTCACCAGTTTTTACATCTGGAAAACTTAAGGAAATGTTTCACTTGATAATGGAATGCTCGGAACAATTAGAGAAATATTTAGAGAAACTAGAAGAAAAAGGGGAGCCGATAGAGTGTCGTGAGGTAGCAGCAAGATTCACGACTGACGTCATCGGTAGTTGTGCCTTTGGGATCAACATGAACGCATTATCGAATGAAGAAAGTGAATTTCGGCGAATGGGAAAGATGGTTTTTTCAACTTCCTTGAAGAATTTCTTAAAGCTTACATTCCGAGAAAGTCTGCCGAAATTATACTTCTTTATGATGTCCTTACAACCGTATCCGTATATTACTTCATTTTTCATTAGAGTTGTGTCGGACACTATTAAGTATAGGGAAAAAAATAACGTGATTAGGCCAGATTTCGTGAACATGTTGATAGAGTTAAAGAACCACCCAGAGAAGTTACAAGATATTGGTAAGTTTTTGTTTTCATTACAACTGTTATACACAGGGTGTCCCAAAAATGTCTCGCAATACGGAAATGTGGGGTAGCTGAGGTCATTCTAAGTATTTACGTACCTTAACGCGATTATTTATTATTAAATCAGCTTTGCGAATCATTCGTTGAATTCTGTTCGGACACGGAATTATTTAAATTAAAATATCATTTACGAACTTTGTTAATCTTCACTGTACACCTTGCATAAAAATTTCATATGGTACACATGAGGTGTCATGCACACCAGAAAATTGAAACGGCTGTCACGGTTAAACTACATATTATTTTGGGTCCGAAAAATTAGTAAATATTCTTCGGACGTTCTAAAGTAGAGGTGAACAGCGTTTTCCTTAAAAATATCACTTTTACGTAATAAACAAAAATCCGGAAAGTTCTCGCTTCGTGACTTGTTCAATACTTCGAACGCGGCTCGAGTCCGTCCCAACCTTCTGTCAAAGCCTCGTGCTGCGGGCTCTCGAACTTCGCGCCGTCACCTCTCATTGGCCAGTGTTTTTCGTTAATAACTCGTAAACAAAGCCGCAGATTGCATTTTCGCAAAGGAAAAAGTTACTTAGAATGACCTCAGCTACCCCACATTCCCGTATTGCGAGACATTTTTGGGACACCCTGTATATGCTTCTATGCTTGCGTGAAACTATATGTATAAGCCAAATTTTTTTTAAGAAACTCAGTTTACGTCATGACGAGCAAAGAAAATTATCTATGTGTGTGTGTGAGTGTACCGTGTCAAAAAAAGGTTGAGTGATTTAATAATACCATGTAAACAGTTGTTGTTGTATAAGGAACGCATTTTGGACTTAAATTGTTTGCTGTTAAGTAATGCGTCCCATGTATTGATCAACTTCTTAACCTTTTGCAGTCCGAATTATTTTCAAATTTTATTGACAGCAGCATTTATATCAACTGTTTTAAATGTTTCATATGAAGTTACTTTAAAGGACTGCTACTTATTTTTAATAAGTAATAATTTTACTAATTATTTAAATATATTTCTAAAACTTTGTTTCGATTTATATTTGTTTTTGTTGTAATAGATAACACTTAGGGTTATCTTAATATGCTTAGGGTTATTTAATAATATTACATTAATAGTTGAGGGAGAACTGTGAAACATCGTGATTTTTTATTTCATACCATGTACATACATATTTCTGTATATACTTGGTTTATTGTATCATGAAAGATTCGATGTTGAATTATTAAAAAGAAAATTCAAACAAAAAAATGTTATCATCCGATAATTAAATTCCATTACGTAGTGTTATTGAACTGTACAAAGCTGGGGTTGAAAACAGCTATGATATCGATTTCGGTTCTTGAAACAGTTATGAAAAACTGAAATGTTATCATAACTGTGATAAGAAGTATCGGTTCTTGCTTATATGGGTTTCGGTTCGGTTCTCCAGAACCGTTATTGTATCGGTTCTATAACTGTTATTTTATGGTTCTGAATTTCAGTTATAGATTTCGTTTCTAATTCTATTTCACGTGACAAATACATTGTATTTTCGTTTAGAATTAAAAGTATGGATTTTGAAATACTTTGTATTATAGACAAGATGAGACGACGGCCAATGCACTGTTTTATTTACAACACAGAAATAGGATGTTCAATCTCTTTCGTTATATTTAATTTTGCCAATACGTGCAAGTATAACCGAAATTCAGAACAAAAAAATAATAGTTATACAACCGATATAATATCGGCTCTCAAGAACCGAAACCGAAACCGAAGCCGATATGAGTCAGAATTGATATAACTCATAATTATTATGAAACTTTTTTAGTTCTCCATACCTGTTTCGATCAGAATCGATATACATATAACAGTTTGAAAAAATTATTTTCGAAACCTTTTCAATCCCTGGTACAAAGTGTAACAAAATTATACGTCGTGATCAGCGTCACGAGATTCTGCAGACAAAATTTAAAATAAAATATGAAAATATTGGGTTGGCAGGAAAATAATTTTGGTATTTCAATTTTTGCTATACAAGAAATGAACTTTAATCGATCAAATATTTCCTATTCTGTTCGATGACCTTGTGCCATCTTTGTGGTAACTTCATGGTTCCGCGCTCATAAAACTTCTGGTCCTTATCAGTAAAAAACTCATCATTTCAATTATTATTTAAATTTTTACTATTTAAAAAGTTCTGTAGATTTCGAAATAAATAATCCGTTGGTGCAAGGTCGGGGCTATATGGAGAATGCGACATCACTTCCCAACCAAGCTCTAATAATTTGCTAATAATTTGCTAAAGGTGTGTGAGGCTTCGCATTGTCGTGGTGGAACACGATTTCTTTGCGATTTGTCAATTCTGACCTTTTCACTTAGATTTCTTTCTGCAATTTCATATAAGTTGTTGGCAGTAAATGTCTCAGTTGATCGTTTCGTTGCTTGGAAGCAGCTCAAAATACATAACACCTTTATAGTCCCACCAAATTGACAGCATGATCTTTTTGTGATGCAATTCGGCTTTCGATATGGTTTGTGCTGATTCATCACGCTTGAACCATGATCTTTTTCGTTTAATGTTATTTTAAACGATCCATTTTTCATCAACAGTGATAATTCGTTTCAAAAAAGGGTCGATTGCATTATTTTAAAATGCGTATCGCAAATACCGATTGATTGTGTTAAGTGAATTTCTTCCAATTCATGCGGAATCCAAACATCGAGCTTCTTAACAAGTCCAAAACATCTTATGTGATATTCAATTGTTGTGTGTGATACATTTAACCTTCTTGCAATCTCTCGTACAGTTATATGACGATTTGATTCCATTATGGCTTTGATTTTCTCATCATCAACTTGAGAAAGTCCATCAGAACGTTGGTCATCTTTAAGTGAAAAATCTTCGGAACGACATTTTTTTGAACCAATTCTGACACGTGCGTTCTGTTAAGCAATCAACGCTATAAACTTTGCATATCACTTTGTGAGCCTCGGCCGCTTTCTTGCCTTTATGAAAATAAAAAAGTAAAATGTGTGGAAAATGTCCATTTTTGCACAACACATTAAAGTGGACAACAAACTATCAGTTGTGAACAAAACTACACGGAATTTGTTTCTATAGTAACTTAAACGTGTCATCTACCAAAGCTAAAAACAAAAAAATGATAATCTTAACAAAAGAATAGCAATGCAAACATAATGCTATCTATTGGTGCAAACCGAAATTACTTTCTTCCCAACCCAATAGTTTGTTTTTTCTTGATTTGCTTGCATCACATTTTAGACATCACGAAAATCAATTTTGCAAAAGGAACTATGATTCACAACTCACTTATTTTCTTGCGAAATGATTTTAAAATTCAAGCAGCCGTTTTATTTATGGCACAAAATATTCAAGTCAGACACTCGACTTTAGTATTCATTGAATCGTGTATGTGGAATCACGGCATTTTCCTGCATCTTCATTGACAGTCTTAACAACATTATAAAAAACAGGATGCATGTTACTTGATGGTAATGTTCTCCACTAGTCAAGACGTGAGCAGAATTATATATATATAAAAATTATTACATCCAATTTATAAAATCATTTCATGAACTTGAGTGGAGATATGAAGTGTTTGAAACAGACAGAACTGTAAAATAAACAAGTAGTTATCAATTGACATTTTTGCAATATTGTAAAAGTATTCGAATAGTTGTCAGAACTTTCAAAAGAAACCAGCAGCCGATCGAAGAGAAAGACGGGAGTGTAGTGAATGGGATGGGGTCCAGAAATATTAAATTTTATTTTTAGGAATTTAGTAGTTTTCAAGATGTTTATTAAAAATTTTGAATGCTTCACATTGAAAGCTGAGTATACAGACTTTGTTAACGCTTTGAATGACACCTGTCCAAAGCATCTTGGCTTTAGTAGTTTCGTTCGTCGTCATTTCAAAATCAGCCTAAGTCGCAATAAAGTAAAAAAGTTGGAGAGGTCGACCAGTGTATTCAGGAAAAGTCACTACAAAGCCACTATCACTATAGAAGTGGACTGGCAACGCATGCGCCGGGAGTCCCGCACAGCGGCGCGGCGCGTCTATCTATAATTCTGAACTACGAGTCGTGCAGCGACTGTAGTTTAAGCCTATAACGTTCATGCGATAGACGCGCCACACCGTTTCGCGGGACTCCCGCGCATGTGTCGCCTGCCACCACTCATTGCGTAGTGACTTCCTGAATATGTACACCGGACCCGACTACAGTATAGGGTGTGTAGAAATAAATTACAGGCATTGATTTGGTTTATTATTCTTCGAGCAAGTAAAGCGAATAAACAATATTGACGGTTCCCAAATTTCAACAATTTAACATTGTATTTTTAAATTTATTAATAAGTGAAGTTGATACCGGTTGAGCTAGTTTATTTTTCGAACGAACTATTTGTACACAATATTTTCTCACAACCAACAATGTTGAAGATTTCAAAAATCTCAAGCTCTTCATTTTCTATGAAGAAAATTCTTTTCTCACGGAATTCATTGTAATATAAGTACGATCTTTTTATTAAAATCTTGGAAGCTACTAAATTCCTGAAACTAAAACTTTAGTATATCTAGAGTCCTATTCTCCTTCCCTACATCTCCCCCAAATTTCGTCGTGATCGACAGCAAAGCCCTTTCGGAAGTTTATCCGAATAGTCAATAAGAAAAGATCCACTGAGTTCATTCGAATTCAATTAAATACCCGCTATAATATCTAACGTGATGATCGTTTTTAGAAATGACGGACAACTTGCTGACTGCGCAAGCCTTCGTTTTCTTCCTAGGTGGTTTCGAATCATCATCGATTACTATCTGTCACGCTCTTTATGAAATGGCCCTGAATCCGCAGATGCAAGATAAATTGCGTGCAGAAATTAAAGAGCTTAGTAAGAAAAACAATGGTTCCTTCAAGCACGATGATTTCAAAGAAATGAAATATTTAGACAAAGTTTTTAAAGGTATGTATACACATACATTCATTGACAATATAAATATTATATTAAGTTGTGGCATAATCTCGGCAGCACTTTCGAATAAAATTTCGAGCATCTGAAATTTGACAAATATATTTATTTAATTAATGATATATTGATCATTGCCGGCGACAATTATTCTCCATCTAATCCCATAACATATGCTTGCATTAGTTTAACGGCAACTGTGAAATGTGAGGAATTATTAATAAAAAATGCGACAGCAATTATGCAGTGATTTTTACATAATGATTATATACAAACGATCTTTATTACAATGGTGCACGGTTAAATTAACATGAAATTCGTACGGCTAAATTTACAAGATCGATCATCACTCATCTCCTACCATAGTTGCCTTCAGCTTGACAAAACATCGCATCTCAGTAGACAAGGAGAAAGATTGATCATAGTGGAAAGAAAGGAGACAAACGTATATAAATAGGCGCTCTTGTCTGTCACAGCAAAGGTGTAGGGAAAAAAATTTTATTTTCTGTAGTCTTCGTCTTACTTTTATAATTCTAGCATCAGGTTATAGTTAAGATTTGTCTGATTTAAACGAGTCCAAAGATGATGTGAATTGAATCACATTTATTACAGATTGCTTATTAATTATTCCGAGAAAATTTTAAATTGATCTGATTTACAACGTATTTGGACTTAAATGTATAAAATGAAGAAAATTTCATTTTTAGTAACCTGTTGCCTTACTAAAAGATCGAATCTTGACCGTTACTGCTCAACATAATACATTTATCTTGCTATGATTCGTTATATCTATTGTCTTACATTGCCTAACCATACTTGAGCGTGCTAACCAGCTTATCTCACTGGTTTTGTTACTCTAACATTAAACTTTAACATTAAATATTTCAAGAACTATAAGCCGTCTACACCCAAAACCGGGTATCAATAGATTCAGTTTTGCAAGCTCTACCACTGTGCTACTACTTCTACCTACTTCTTGTAAGTTACGCCCGTGTACGAACATACACAGATCTCTACAGGGTGTTCTAAAATGAGCGGTTCCTGAGGTCATTTGAAGTAATTTTTTCCTTTTCGCAAATGCAATCCGCGGCTTTTTTTACGAGTTATTCACGAAAAACACTGACCAATGAGGGGCGAGTACGGCTGGCGCGAGGCTGTCAATACAACGAACGGTCGAATAAACGGTTAATAACTCGTTAACACGTTCCGTGCCGAGCTTTTTTTACTCGAATCTTCACACTTTGATATTTTACTAAAACTTGATGTATTACGTGCAATTATTAATTCTCGTACACATAACAACGTAACAAAAACTTATCAACGCCTATTCTTGCGGTGGAAATTGATTCTTCGGTTCTAAATTTCTTGTAAACAATTTGTTCAGTTCACTAAGTAAACATACAAGCGTGTACCATCGATGGTACACGTGGCACGGAACGTGTTAACGATGCCGCTGAGAAAAATTTTGCGAAGGAAAATGTTACTTCAAACGACCTCTGGAACCCCTCATTTTCCGGAACTAACATAATTTTTAGTAGTAGATCGCGGTTCGTCTACCTCTAGAAGAGTTTACAGAGTTTTGCCTGCCGAGATAGTGTACGCGTAGGGATCGCTAATCGATCCATCTTTTTTACCTTGTCTCGAAGAGAAAATGGCGCTCGGGGTCGGTCAACTTCTCCGTAGAGTCAATGGTTTGCCTGCTCCNTCTTCACACTTTGATATTTTACTAAAACTTGATGTATTACGTGCAATTATTAATTCTCGTACACATAACAACGTAACAAAAACTTATCAACGCCTATTCTTGCGGTGGAAATTGATTCTTCGGTTCTAAATTTCTTGTAAACAATTTGTTCAGTTCACTAAGTAAACATACAAGCGTGTACCATCGATGGTACACGTGGCACGGAACGTGTTAACGATGCCGCTGAGAAAAATTTTGCGAAGGAAAATGTTACTTCAAACGACCTCTGGAACCCCTCATTTTCCGGAACTAACATAATTTTTAGTAGTAGATCGCGGTTCGTCTACCTCTAGAAGAGTTTACAGAGTTTTGCCTGCCGAGATAGTGTACGCGTAGGGATCGCTAATCGATCCATCTTTTTTACCTTGTCTCGAAGAGAAAATGGCGCTCGGGGTCGGTCAACTTCTCCGTAGAGTCAATGGTTTGCCTGCTCCTCGGGGTTACGCGTACTTTGCACAAATTAAATCGGGTCACCCGTGTATTGCGTGGCTCTAATCACGGATTCCGGGGAAATTGCCAAATTTGCAGATCAATTTATACGCTAACATTGCTGAAGCTTCCAGTGGATCATTATAAACATACACATGAAACATGACATACGTTACACATAAAATACAGCACACCAGCATATATAAAATTCGATGAACATCGCCTCGTAGTGCACATTGGTTAATACAAACGTTGACGGTATTTTATATTAATTCTGATGGACGCTAGCTGCCGGCTTACGCATTCGGTGCCGCTTTATGCACTCTAGACAAACTAGGGCTGACCGACGCCAAAGGGAAACAGAAAAATGTTGTTCAGATATCGTATTTTATAACATATTTCAATGCCATTAAAATCGGTGATGGTTTAAGCTTTCGACAACCTCACCTGTTATTAATAGATCTAATATTTTAAATCACATATTCTTCTTATCGACAGAAACACTGCGGAAGTATCCACCAGGAACTGTGTTGGTGAGAAAATGCAACAGGGAGTACACTTTCAGGAATACGAAAGTAACAATTCCAAAAGGTACAGGAATATCTATTCCGGTATACGCTCTTCATCACGACCCCAGCATTTATCCAAATCCAGAAGTCTTTGACCCAGAAAGATTTAATGATGATGCAGTTGCGACGAGACATCCAATGAGCTTTTTACCTTTTGGAGATGGCCCACGAAATTGCATTGGTAATTTAACACAGAAAATTTAATTATACTTTCAATTCGCTTTGTGCGTGTATTCGATTTTTTTAGACCGTAGGTATACCGAGTGTTGAAAATGTTTTACTACTCTCATTGATTACTGTAAGCCATTAAAATCTTGAACACCTCTTTTTCAACACCCTGTATATTTCTACAGATTCTCCAGTGTTCAATGCATAATATTTGACAAATTTTGTATCATGTTTATTTCAATCTAATTTGTAATTTTCCATGTAGGTGCACGGTTTGCAGTATACCAAACAAAAGTGGGCTTAATAAAAACACTAGAAAATTTTAAAGTCGACGTTTGTGAAAAAACAATGATTCCGTATGAAAGTGATCCACGTTCCGTAGTATATGTTCCAAAAAGGGGAATATACTTAAAAATAAGTAAAGTAACAAAGTGAGCTGATTAATAAAAGAGATTAAAACAACGTTCGAAGTATTAAGATCATTGAAAAATCTGAAAGAAATAAATATTAAAGGACTTTTTTTCCTTTCTTATTCTATCCTTCCCTCGGAGGCCACGAGCGTCGGACTCGGAATCTAGCACCAAAATGTTCCAGCGTGGGTCAACGTTAATCTCCTTCGAGTTTTCTGGCAATTCGGAGGTGTAGAACGAGAAGGATTGGGTTATTCCTTTATTAAAGATAATCGTTGTTTTTGCGGTTCCTAGCAACAATTCCACCGGCGGACTCGGGGAACTTCGCCTCATCGGAACCCCGACAAAGAGCCAAGGCCTTATCCAAGGCAGTCGTTGGGGACCTCCTGCTGGACGTGCTCAGGGATAAAGGAATATTCTGTGTGTGATTGTACACCTTGCCTTAACCCTCGGAAGAGAGCGGTGGCACTAGTGCCCTAAGGGATTCTAAGTTGCGAGATCCTCACGAACCGAAGACTCCCAGCGAAATCCTACCGAGCATTTTTTTTCTTTTTCTTTTGTGTGTTACAGTGCCTAGATTTTTATAATTTTCAGTCTGTATCTAACTTGAGTGAGTAGAAAATTATTGACTTCTATGTCTGTTGTTAAACGAACACATGTTTAATTTATTATTTTGTGTATTTTATAAGATAAAACATTCAAAATCCTATATGCTTGGTAAGGGGAGAGATTTGATTAGATTTAGTAGTGTTAGTTGGTTTTCATTTGATCGGTAGTAAAATTTGTCTGATTTTTGTATGGTTAAAGTTGTAGCTGTTTGTTTGAGATTTTAGCATGTATGTACCACTATGGGAGCGTTTATTTGTTCGCGAAGATCTTTTATACGAGTGTGCCTGTCTTTGTTTAGAATGATTCTAAGGAATTTATTTTATTTATTTATTTGTTTTTGAGACTGTGGCCCAGATTTAATATCAGTATGTGAGAATTGTTCTGGTACATACTGGGTATAGTGTTCTTTTAATTTTTGTTTTTGTAGAACTTTTGGGATTTATTAGTGGGTACAATAATCTAGGATAGTTTTTTTGGGTTCTGTCTTGTATAGCTGGGGTCTAATTGAGTTTAGAATGTAGAATTATACCTAGATAAACTGTATGGGTCTATAGAATTTCATAATTGTTAATATTAATTTTGTTAGGTTGAGTATTACCTTCCTTGTGGAAAAATAATTTTCAGCTAATTATCATTACTTTTAAGCTAGCATAATTATTATACCAGGATGAGGCCAAGATTGCCGTATTATATGCATACAGGGTGTTCCACAATTATTATTACAGCCGAAAATGGAGGGGTAGCTGAGGTCATTCGAAGTAACTTTTTCGTTTGCGAAAATGCAATCCGCGGCTTTGTTTACGAGTTATTAACGAAAAACACTGATCAATGAGAGGCGATGGCGTGAATTACAACGTGGCGATCGATCGAGTGCAGGATGCTTCGACCCTGAAGCGTGATAGAAGAAGAGAGGCACCGTGCAACGTTCAAATCAATGAACAAGTCACAGAGCGTGAACTTTCCGAATTGTTTTTACGACGGTAACAATGATAATTTTAAGAAAAACGCTGTTCATCCATATCACAGAATATTTGAAGAATACTTACTAATTATTTGAATTTTTTGGACCCGAAATAATATGTATTTTAACTATGACAGCTCTTTTAATTTTCTTATGTGCATGATACCTCACGTGTACCACACACATATGAAATTTGTAATATTAATTAATAATATTTTAATTTAAATAATTCCATGTCCGAATAGAATTGAACGAATGATTCACAAAGCTAATTTAATAATCCCGCCTCAAATGGAATATCACGTAAACGATGCATCCATCCTTTTCAGAGTCATGTGCACGATCAAAGGATTACCAAAATTTAATAGAAATTGAATATACGTAACCTATTGCGGTGTGTCGTGTTGTGTCTGCGTAACACTAATCGTTGGCCTAGGAGTAATTAATTCTGCTGCTGTGGTGAAGGGAGATAGTGACTCTGCTTTTTCTTTTGTGGTTTCCTTGTATCCTTGGTGCGCTCGCCAGAAAAATTCAAAGGTTTTTCAGGGAACTTCCTGGCGATAATCGGCTGGAACGTTCTGGTTTTCAATATATTGGTTAGATTTTTCCAATTAAAATGATACCAAACACGGCATGCTTTAGACTATACATACTCATTATACGTAGCAAGTAATTTATTTTATTTGCGAAAAACTCGTTAGAGAAATCGATTCATAACATATGAAATATTAAAGGCAACGTCAAAGAAGTATAGAAAAAATATGTCGTTTGAAAGAAAATATCAGTGAAGTTATGCTATTAGAGCCTACGTTCGACGACGGTAGGAAGAGTCCACGGCTGAGTTAGATGTCGGTAGGAAGAGACTCGTTTTGACTACAATCTGAGGACAAGCTTACGCGCGGAGGATGTGTAGGAACAGTTTTCTGTAATTTTTTCATCAATCCTGGAATTTAAAGAGGTCGAACCTCGGGAAAGAACGACATTGTTTAGGATCTTACACTGAGGTCCTCAAAACTCAGCACCGATAGCACAACGGATCTGTTGCAGATGTGGCGACGAAGGATAAGGGCTGGAACCGAATCGTTTTTACGGCGCAACAACGGCAATATTGAGATACGCTAGTATCAGCCAGTAGCGAATATACACATTTGAATCCTTTTTTCGATTTCGGCTCGCGTTCTTCCACATCAACTGAACATTTTCATGCAAATAATAACAAGAATTATGATTTTAACACCAACAATGATTGATTTTCAAAACGTATCAATGAAAAACATATTTTTAGAATACACCACTCTGATACCTTCCTCTGCTCCTATAGAACGTTTATTATCATTTGCCAGTGTAATAAACTCACCTGAAGCAAATAGATTATCGCATAAAATATTCGATCAAAGAGTTGTTTTTAAGGCACGTTAATTGAATAAAGCACAACGATACAAAGTGCCTTCTCCCCTTTCATTGTAAATTATTTCAATAAAACCACAGTTATATGCATAATATGTTTCTACATAGTGGGATTTTAAATGTTTGAGAGATCTCTAACAGCTGCTTAAAAATGAAATTACAATATTTACCTTATACACACGAGAAAATTTTGTTATATTTTCCGTAACATTGATTATTTCCTTCCTTCAAATATATCTTATTAATACTTCCTCTTCAAAGATTACTCGAATTATTCATTCGAATGTTATTCGAATAAAATTTTATTCGAAGAATTTATTTGAAAAAATTGCCCAACTCTCCGTTTTTAAATATCGAATTCAAGCAATAATTTCTGTTTGAAGTGTTTTTTACTACTAATCGCCTCGTCGTCATACCGTTTATAAACTGGAACGCAACGAAGACAAGTCTATAACCAGAGCTGGGTAAAATTTTATTTTTTTATTTTATTTTATATCACGCATGCATTTTTGGAAATAAAATATTTCATTTGTTTAGAAGATTGTACTTTTAAAACTAAAGTATTTTATTCCTTGTAACAAATTCTTAAGATAAACACAAACTCTTATTTGATAAACACTGAAAATATTTGTGATATAGTACGGAATATTTAATTTATTTATATACTTTATTATAACCAAATAAAATAATTTTATTTTACTAAATCATAGTGTAAAATATAATTACTTTGGTATTCTAAAACGAACGAAGTACTTTTCCTCTGCATTATCAACGCAGATAAAATATATACTTTGCAAAGATGACAATAAATTTCATTTGTAAACATGATTTCTTATGTTCTCTCGTTTTACGTTACGTTAATTATCTTCACTACTGTTATTTCCAATGCTGTTAGTTAAAAATAAAAATAATGTCGATCCATTTGAAATAATAACAATTTCAAAGAATGAATTATTTTTACGTTGCTTTATTTAGGCAAATATAATAGTATGCAACCGGGTTTGATTCTGTATAACCTGTAAGAGCGGCAGTTAGTAACCCGATTAATCCGTTCTTGAAATCGGTTGCAGTTATGGAATAAAACTACGAGAAGAATTGTTGAGTTTACTAATCTTTTTTTAACTTTGATTAGATAAATGTTGCCATCGAATTGTATTGGAATATTCTACAGATGTACCGTCCCTCGGCGTGCTGAAACGTGTTATATTCTAAATTGCAACTGTTTTAGAGGGAAATTTTCTTGTGTTTTGTTGCTGTCGACAGTCTAGTCTTGTTCAGTTGCAGAAGAAGCACGCTTTATATTCTTCAGTCGTCAGATTGTGTAACTAGTTGATACGATTAATAATTTCATTTTACATATCTTTTTTGTTTTGTTATATAATATTATGTACAGTGGAATATCCTGTTCGTCATTACTTCTCATTTAATATGAATGAAGACAAATCTAATAAGATTAACAGCGAGTTATATTTAATTTGTAAAGTTCAAGCCATCATTTTATCAAACCGACGTGCGTTACGAAAAGTAACACGTTTCAGTTTTTTTTTATAAAGACTTGCGTATTAGACTTTATATATAAGAACAGTAGTATATTTCGACTTTTGTATCGAATGTAGTATTTTTTTTATATGTAACGACGAAGGCTAACATTGTGCTTTTCGCTGCGAAAACATTATAGTACATTATAGTAGTTTGCCGCGTAGACTAGCCTGGATCATTATTAGCCGCGAAAAATACGTTTCATTCCTTGCTGCGAAAAATAGCTTGTTTTGTTCTTTGCCGTAAAGAATGTCGCATTAAATAAATTAATAAAATAAAAAAATGGATACGATTATAAACAGATATAAAGAATTCTCTAATGTATAATATTGTGATAAAATTTAATATATTCTTTTAGGATGCATTAACCCGTCATAAGAACTAACGTTCTGCGCACTGGTTAGCCCGGTTACGCAGGTTACTCTACGAATCTGAGAGCGGTACCGGGTTTGGGTTAGGATCCCTGATCTTACGTACCGCTTGGGTTGTATCAAAGTGACACCAGGTGATTCCTCATGAAAAAACATGAAACATATATACAATATTTTTTTTGTTTGGAATTTAGTTTCTGAGAAAATCGAGTTTGAATATTTAAACATGAGTTTTCTATTTTTTAAGCAATTTTTTAAGCATTCTAAGCAAAAGCAAAAATAAGAAAAAAGCATTCTAGTTATGGTCTAGTAGACTGGTCTCTCTATCATCCGAAAAAATTCGAGTCATTTAGTCTAATCCTAAAAAAGTTATTGCATTTTAAAAGTTGTTCGTACATTAATGGTAATACAGTGACTGCGAGCGGTGACCCGCTGTGTAATCCAGAGCGTCTTTCTGGCCTTTTATTAGCAAGTTTCACATTAAGTATCTCAAAACCTATAAACCGACTGTACAAGCAATTCCCAACTTCGTGCAATCAATGCAGCGACGATTGCAAGCTGTAATTCAAGCAGAAGTTAACCCTACGAAGTATTAATAGTCTTTAAATTCGTATTATTATTAAGTGTATGAAGACTTTTGTGACCCGATATTTGTACCATATAATAAATATGCTGTATTTACTTAAAGAGAAAAGGTTCGTTTTTATTTATTCCTATACAGTTTTAAAGACTAAGAAATGTTCTTTTA